TCTGAGGGACTGGGACCACAATGAGCAAGTCTTTGCTGTGCACTTGGTCTTGTTCGTTCTGGCCTTACAACTGTGTGCATGTTTCTTTTTTTCTTTTTTTTTTTTTCCTTTTCTTCCCCCAACTGATCTTTTGATAGAAACCATCGCTCAATTTTTCTTCACAATGAAACAAAACCTGCATTGTTTAGAACCACAGAATGGCCAGGGTTGGAAGGGATCTCAAGGATCGTGAATCTCCAACCCCCTCACTACATGCAGGGCCACCAACCTCCACATTTCATAGCAGCCCAGGCTGCCCAGGGCCCCATCCAACCTGGCCTTGAACACCTCCAGGGATGGACGGGGCATCACAGCCTCTCTGCAGCTGTTCAGCACCTCACTGCTCTCATAGCAAAGAACTTTAGGTGCCAACTCTCAAGATGCTTAAAAAAATGCACTCAGCTGTAAAATGCGTTGATGTGCTTAAGATAAGTCTTATCTTACAGATTGCAAAGGATGACTGTTCTGCACAGAGAAGTGGTGATGATTTAGGAAGCAAGCTGCAATTATTCTGTGAACTAATGAAAACCTAGGGGTTCTGTGCTTTGGACTTGGAGAGAACTGTGACCATCAGCTATTGCTCAGTTTTTTCTATTTAATGCAAAGCTTTGCCTTTTCTGCACCTTTTATTTTTCCTTTGTGAGCTGTTTTTTTGTTTGTTTTTCTTGGCTTTTAGTTTAGAAGGACACCCCTTGTAGTGCTGCACTCTTTGACTCAGCACTTCCACAGGTAGTACTGGCAGCTGGTTCATTTAATAAGTGTCAGTGAACTGATCTTTTCGTATACATGCAGTACCTTTTGGTGCATGGTCATAAAGGGAAAATACTCACCTGTGTGAGTGCATAGCTGTGTGTATGGTTTGTGTAGTGGTAAAGAGAGAGAAGGCACAATACCAACACTTTGTTAGCTACCAGGCTGACCTGAGCTTGCTGAAGTCGTGCTGATCCTTGACTCACACCAGAGTCACGTGGAGGGAATGAAATCCCAGTCATACCCCCACGATCAACATAAAGGTGAGCATACAGGGAGCTTGAGCACAGCAACAGGAACAAAACGCCCGTTGTTGTGATGATGCACTGCTCCTTCTGGTTATTCTTCCCCCTCACTAGTTTAGTGTCTTGTAGTAGTTAAAATAAGTTGTTTTGTAGCTTGATGGAGGTAGTAATGCTCTGTCACTGTTGGTTTTCAAAGGGGTTTTGGGCAGTAAAGTAATTAATGCAGCCCAGCTTGAAACTCTGTGATTATCAGTGAAGTCCCTGAGATTGTTATTTCCAGGTTTGTGCGTTTATTTGAAGTGGTCACATTGCAATACTGCAAAAATCTTGTTTAGTTAATAAGGAAATGCTTAATTATTATTTTTTTTCCCTAACGCTTTGAATTTTGAATTGTCTCAGGCATCACTATCATCCTGTGAAAATAAGGTTTTGCTCTTGGTGGCCGTGTGCTCCTTGCAGAGATGAGAAGTTTGAGCCTTTGTCCACTGCTGACATCAAGAGCAGAGAGTGATGTAATTTAATTTTATACAGTACAAAGAGGTACATCCAAGACAGAAACCTGTAGTATAGTATTCTGAATACATCTCAATGGGGGGAAAAATAAAGATTGATTGCTTTTTTTTTTTTCTCTCCCTGATGTTACATTGAAAGATGGGGACATTTAATTTGCTGAATTTAACATTCCTCACTTATCTTCTCTGGTACGTGGGGGCAGCCAGCACTGCAGTTGTGCTGCTAATGAAGGATCTGCTTTTAGCTGCAGCTTCTGACAGTGAGAGCTGTGCTGAATGCTGCTCTCTTGCAAGGGCATCAACTGGGTTGTTTTAGAATACCTCTGGCTTATGAAGCTCTTCTTGTGGCTGCCAGCACCACCGTACTGCCTGTTATGTAACTGAGTCAGCTGAGATTACAAATTGGTATATATTCTTTCACCATTATCTTAAAATGTGGAGATGCTCAACTTGAAACAGTTTGTCCACAAAGCAGAACGAAGGGGCTGATAATTGTTGTAACTGAAGGCTTTTAATTGATGTTTTAAACAGCTTTACCTAACGGTGCTTCGTTTAAGTCATTAAAGTGTTAATTTTAATGGTTGTGCCAGCACAGTGTGCAATTTTAATTGAAGATATAAAATGAAAGCTCTTTTTTTTTTTAGTGTGTTACTAAACATTTATTGCTACATGCATTTGAATGATAAGCAAATAAAAACAGAGCGATGGCTGCGCTTTATAACTGGTCATTAGAGTCCTCATCCATCAAAACACATAAGCCTGTACATAATGGGACTATTTGCATAATTACAGTTATGAGCTTGATTTCTGAGCGTGTAAGTAGTCCTTTAAGCATACGTGGAAGTGTTTGACAATCAAGCTCTGCAGTTTAAATGGGCTGCGAATTGGAACGGGGTACGTGTTGAAATGTGTGTCCAGCCTATGGCACGTTTGTTCTTTGCTCACGTAAAACCGGTCAGCAAGCATTGAAGCACGTCCCTTGTTTGTCACCTGGGACAATGTGTGACAGACGTCATCCTCTCGTGAAGAAATTGTTCTATAGATGCACTCTGGTGCTTTATGAATTCAAATCTTTTTTATCCTCAATCTGCTTTTTCTGTGAATGCTCCTGCTGGTTAAAAACAAACCCACCCACTGTGTTCCTTTGACAAGAAGTAAAAACAAGGTTGCATCAGCTCTTATTTAAGTACAAGTTGGTGGGCAGTGCTGGGTGGTGACCCAGTCCTGGTTGATGAACTGAATTTGAGGATGCAATTGAGCATGGGCCGTAAAATCTTCAGTCTGTAATTTCTTTTTGCCCTGTCAGCAGTACGTCTTGGACAACGAATGCTGAGTGGAAAGCAAATTTGTATATTCACCTTTCAGAAGAAGCCGTGAGCTGATCAGCAGATGATTGCAGAGTACGCTTAAGTTTACATAATGCAGTATTTTACCCAGAATTTTGTGTAGCTGCCACCACCAGGTGCTTTCCTCCAGGATGCCTGCCATTGCCAGGGCCACGTTCTGGGCTCACCTGCAGCCATGTGGAACATGTGCCACGTTTTGGAAGAGCAAGGTCTAGAAATTCCTAAGGATCCTGGCAGTGCTTTGTTTCCAAAGGGAGAAGGTTGCCTGTCCGTGTGTTTTGGGTTCATTCTGGATGTGGGTATGGGCCTGCTTTACCCATCTAACTAAAATCATTTCAGTCTGCGTTATTTTTATTGGGGAATATGTAAATGAACAACTGCTTCATACATTATTCAAGAGATGACATTTTGTATCAGTGATACCTCTTTCTAATCTTATCTAAGGATATGCAAATGGTTTAATTAAAATAATTATACTGTATAATATACCTGAACTTCACTCTTAAATAGTACCTATTAATCATTAATGGTACTTGTTCATATTTTCAGTTGGAAAGACGATTAAAATATTTGATTGATAGTGGGCTCTAAACAGTTTTTCCCCTTTTGCTGAACAGCTGGGACTGAGCTGGCCTTTGTGACTGTGATCAGTTGACCTGCTGCATGCAAGGACAGTATAATTTGGTTTAAAATGACTAATGTTACAGCAGAAAAGTGTAGTAGTTTGAAAATAAGCTTGGTGTGTATCTATGGGTCAGTATTCCTCAAGTTGTTTGCACGTCCTCTTCTTCCTACTGTTAAGAACTGTTGATTAAACAGAAGAATTCTGTTTCTTGCATCTGTCTGACCTTGGAGTTATATACCGTAATCGTGTCACATCCTTGAGGGTACAAAAGAATTGCTAGAGAAATGCACAAAGGCTTCCCTTCCTAATGCAAAAGGATAGGGATTGCATGGGGCTGTCATGGATGGAACCTGCAAATGCTAAGCAGTAAGCACAGAAATGCCTGATGAGGAATTAATCATTCCCCCTTTTGTGGCCACAACATATCTGCAATCACTCTTTGATGTTATCAATAAAACCCAAAGCAAAGTGAAGTCAGTCTGGCAGTTGTGGGTTGTATTGGAATTACTGTGTTTCTTTCTGGCCTGGCACTCGAGGAGGCGAGAGCTGGGGAGCCTTGGTTAGAATAGAGCATGTGGATGAGCTGTTAGGGCTAAAGCCAAAATTCAGGAAATGAAATAATTTGCAAGTGAAGCAAAAACTTTGTTAATTATTGTTTAGACGACACGAGTTTTGGCTCTGGTGTTACTGGAGGGCACTTTACTGCTGTCTAACCACAGCTGTGTTCTGCTGTGGTTGTGTTCCATTGGTGGGCTGTAATTTTTCCTGACTGGGTATTGGCTCTCGATGGATTTAAGAGGATGTTTGCAATAGAAATAAGTTACTGACTACTGACTTCTTTTTTTTTTTTTTTTTTTTTTTTTGGAAAAAATCCTAAAACAAAATGGGTTGGAATGACTGAATAGTGAAAATATTTACTATCTGTGTTGGTAGGACTTGTCTTACGAGAGATGGAGGGACTGCTGCGAGATCAAGGGGGAATTAAAGACCTCCAGATTCATTAGTGATGACAAAGAAGGGAAGAATGGCAGTGACATGGTGTTGTTTGATTTTTAAGTGCTGGAAGGGAAGTAAAACCCAAGCAAATACAACATGGCTATTGAGAAGGATGTCCAGCTCCATAGAGGATGGGGAGATGCGATGAAGGAAATGTAACACAAATGCTGAGTCCCAGCATGCTGGGGGGTTTCCTTATTGGGCTGTTAAGAGCTCATCCATCTCCAGTTTTGATGTAAGCTATCAGTCTTCCCATCTCTTCTCTTGCTCCTTCCCTCTTCTAGGCCTATTCAGTCCCAACATTCATTTTCCTAGAGTTTTAAGGTTGAGCGACTTATCTCTGGAAGAACAGGCTGAGAGGCTCAGCTGAAGGCACAGGCTGTAGTTAAGCCAAAGCAATTACACACATATGATTCTCTTCTTGCTGTCTTCCCATCTGATTGAAGGAGGCGTGAATTTCAGTCTTCCTTTTCTCTTCTTTTTCCAGGGAGCAGCTCTTAAATACTTGCCAGCCATTGTCAATGACGTGAAATTAGTATTTGATCCAAAAGAACTTAGGTAAGTAAATAATTGAGTGTGTTGTGCACTTTGTTGGACTAGTTTGTATAATACTACATATTATATATATTATATATATTTGTATTATATATAAATAAATTAATGCATTAAGAACTACACTTTTATATATATACTTTTATATGTAAGTATATATATATACTTATATATAAATAATATATATACTTATATATATAAGTATATAATATATATATATTATATATAATAATATAATATAATATAATGTAATATATAATATAATATATATTATATATAAGTATGTATATAATAATATATATATAAGTTTCTTTTATTTCTATATTATTATATATATACTTACATATAAAAGTATATATATAAAAGTGTAGTTCTTAATGCATTAATTTATCAGTATATCTTCTGGCTTGAAGCTTGGAGGCAATGAAATCTGATGGCCTGCAATGTTTTATCACCTTTCTCCTACAAGCAGTTGCTGGGCTTTGCAGATTCCCTATTTGTTGTAATGTGTGGCACTGAGGTTTGGCATGTCTTGAAAAATTTTGCAGTCCTGCTTACTAAAGTCATGTAATGAGATATCAAGAATTATCAGTCAGTTATTGACAACAAAACACTCAAACTGTAAGCCTGATGCATCGCTGTTTGAATTACAAACTTGATGTAAATAATAACTCTGCTTTTGTTCACTGAGCCTTATTTATGGAGGGCCATTTCAGTAGCTTATAAATATGCTTTTCTATTTACAATTTAGGGCATTCCTGTAATGGAAAATTGTTTTGGAACAAAACGACAATAGGGAAACCAAATCTATGATGATTGAAGAGGCAATAGCACAGACAGCTGAAACTTGAAATACAGAATCTGAAACGAAACACAGGAAGACAGTATAAAACTGAGGTGAAAGGGAGAGGGCAAAAGGAAAAGGTGAAAAAAGTAAACAGGAATATCAGAGAAATGTGAATCGCCTTTGAAATTTAAAACTTCATTCTTTGGGATTAGAGAAAAAAAAAGTTTGTCATGAGGTGTGCAGTTGTCTGTGCGGTTTTGTATTGTCTAGTTGTCTTGTTTGCTTTGTTTTATATATTGTTGGGAGAGTTTGCTATATTTTCCCTTGTCCCTTTCTACCTAGCAAGCTTTTTACTGAATTCATCCTCAACGTCCCCGTCAGCAGGCTGACCATTCAGAAGCTCTACTGCTTGATCGAAATCGTTCACAGTGACCTCTTCACACAGCACGGTAAGCAGCAGCGCTGTCGCTCTTGTCACGTCACTCATGGCCTCCAAACTTCTGCTGGTGGAAGTTCTGTCCCTGCTGCCAAATGCAGCGCAGGTTGCACCCAATTAAGGTTGTTCTGTTAGCAGGGTGAGAAGATTTGAGGTAAGTGAGGGAGTGCTAATTGACATTTACTGCAGGTTAGAGATCGTAAAGAAGTGAAAGTAAATACTTGTAATTTTTCATTTAAGAGGGCACAAAGCATCCAGTGTTACTGCTGTGTATTATACCTGTAACTGTGTTTATTTTATCAAATTCAGCTTTGTGCTCAGTGAAGTTTTATAGAAACAATGGCTGTTCTCAATGTCCATCCTTTCTGAAGCATTTTTCTTCCCCTGCAAGCTCAACCTCAGCAGAAGTAAAGCAACATAAACCCTTAGTCCATGCTTTCTCTTCCTCTCCTTTTACATTGTGGAAGGTAACTTCAACTGATGTCTTAGAGTTCTTCGTTTGCAGTGAAGCATTTTATTCTTTTCTAGATGACTGCAGGTTAAACTACCCTAAACTAAGTGTTTTTGTACTGTCAGAAGGAGCTAATGAGGGAGCAAATAGACAATGGTTCAACCATAAAGGAAATGTGGAAGGACTCTTCTGTGGATCAGAATTGCTGGTGAAGCAATTAAAAAAAAATGAAAAATAAAAAATATATATATGTATATTGGTGGGTTGGCTTTGTGCAGCCAGGTTGTATCCCCCATAGGATCTAACCAGAGCTGTGTAACTCTTGCTGGATCTTATAGCTCTATCTTCTTACCATTAGTTTGTAAAAAAGGGCATGTATAAGTCAACCCAATGTGTGCTTCCCTAAATTCACAAAGCATTCTGCTTTGGCCCCTGGTGCAATTCAGCAGCATTGCTAGGAGACAGAGTATTGCATGGATCTGCTGCTAACATCTGTGGAAATAAGTCCTAACTGTTGCCCTTCCTTTCTGCTCTAGTAGTAGTGGAGAATGATACTCAAGGAACAAGCTTTGTTTTATTTTTACCTTCTGTTCAGACTGACTTTGCAGTAAGTTTATTCTCCAAATAGATTTGTAGTAAGTACATGTAAAATTATTGGGACAGCGCAATACACGTACATTTTCCCCTCATAATTTAAAGGATGTTTACTGAGAGTTAGGACTGCTGTAGATCCTAGAGCCTCCAGACCTTTCAAGAAAGAGGTTTTCCATGAGGAACCACTCAGTACTTTCCCATTCTTGATCAAGTGGGATTGTAGCACCTAAGTTGCAGGTATATTTTCTACAGCTATGTAGAAAATGCTGATGGCAGTATCACCACACCTGCACCAGCGGCTCCATATGCATTGCAGCTTGATCTTCGCTTCTTAGATCTTTTCCCCTCTTGTTTGCCCCAACAAAAGAGTGACACAACTGTATCTGTTTTGAATTGCAAGGGGAATAAGGCAGAAAGCAGATGGAATTGCTGGCGTTGCGTGAAATGGTGCTTCTCTCCAAGAGCATTTTAATGTTTGTTCTTCCTGATGCCTGCATCAAGGGTTACTATGAAATGTGCATCGTTTCTGTCATTCATTCTCAGCTTTTTGTAGTAGCTTTTCTTATTTCTAGCACTTTTTAGAATGTAAAATCTTCAGGGCCGAAGTCAGTGATGTGAGGTGTTACACCTGACCATTCTGGATAGGAGAAAATCGAGATAACACAGGTAAAAAGCAATGATCAGAAGCGCTTCTGAGGGAAGCTGTAGTGTCATATCGTGTTTTTATTATGTTACTCTGTGAAAATTAAATTCTTCTCAGAGGAAAGTCAATGAAGAAGGAGAATTTGTGTATGCTGGTTTGTTGTAGCTCTCAAACTCAGCCAACTGCAGGGAATGGTGATCAACATGAATAGCTGGTAGAGCTCCTAAGGAAGGTGGATGATTCAGCTGTAATAGCAGGGTATTTCATCTGAACCCAGTCTGGTCTTACTGATGGAACAGCACTTCTGAATGGCTTTTGGGTCTTACAGTGAGGCTCGTTCCTGGAGGCTTTCATGTCACCTGAGTTAAGAATGCCCTCAATCTGATGTACTGCAGCTGAAGTGTGATGGAGATTCAAGGCACGTGTACCAGCAGTGCTGCCCAGACTGCTGTGTGCATCCCAGCATTGGGTGCTTGTTTCACCCTAGCTGCAGTTTTGAGATGAGGTGTGACATGGGGATGTGGGGCTGTTCCACTTCCACCATCTGGCAGTTTATGTCTGTGTGCTGCCCATCCTCCCGTGTGCTTCTGCAAGGCCTCATGTAGTCTCCTGAATCAATAAACAAAGCATTATCTTAAATGCTCCTTGTGCCACAGATAATTCTGTATAATGCTTACACCTGGAGAATGGATTGTACACCAGAAACCTTTCGTAAACGCTTGAAAATGAATTGAGTGAATAGCCACAGTGGTTAAATCTAGACTCTCCTTGCTCTTTGGGTTTGAGTTCTTATTACTAAAAATGTAGTTCTGCTGCCTCTCCTGCTTCTCATTTATTCAAACATTTTAAACTAATAGCCAGTATTTTCATATAAGTACCAGTCTGATGCTGTACCATATCACAGAAATGAGTTTTTCCTGTCTAAAAGCAATAAGTGGTACAAGACTGTGGACCTGCAGGAAAGCTCGAAGACATCCTGAAAATCAAACAGCATTTCGTCAGCGAATTTCTTTTTCTTTGAGAGAATGCCCTGATCTGTGCCCTGAGAGTCGAGGAAGATTTATTTGTCGTGTCTCAAGAATTAAAACTGAAAATACAAGAATTTGTGAAGCTTGAAGGATGCAGGGGTGAGGGGTGTGTGTGAAATGCTTTGTGAGGAGTTCTGCTGTGAAGGTGTGGAGTGCTGGTGGTGGACTTCTGAAAGCTGAAGAGCTTGGGATCTTGGATGGGAATACAGTGTGGCATTGTGCTTTGTATGTCTTTTAAAACTCTATTGCAGATCCTATTGAAAAACTTGTTCAATTGCTTTCTGGTTACATTGTGTGTCATATATTTGTTCCATTCTGAAATTCAAGGTAATGCATCTCCTTTGCGAACCTTGTGTTTACTTTTGTGAAGACTTCAGCCTTGACAGGAATATCCTGTGCACTCTTGATATTTTGCTGCTGTTGTCCTAACACTGGTTCATAATCGAGGCCTTTTACTCAGAGGAAAGAAGAGAAATCAGTATGTGACTATGCAGTCAAAGCACTGTTAAACAGAAAGCATGTGTTTATTGGTAAGTAATTGAACTGAATAAGAGCCAGGTGCCTTCAAGGAGCATTTATTTATCTGTTTGTGTGTGTATTTGATAAAGGAATAAGGGCCATATGGCAACAAGGAGTGTTATCTTTCCAAGCTTGTGCTTGCTTACGGAGGCTGACAGGTAGAAGCCAGTTCTCTGTACAGACTAAATCTATCAGACCTTCATGCTTCTCTTGTCTGTGCTCAAAAAATGTTCAAATATCCCACAGAAGATAAGTTTCCTCAGAGCAGCATGTGAAACAGAACATTGTAAATGTCTTCTGTGTATCACAGAATCACACGGAATCACAGAATGGCCAGGGTTGGAAGGAACCTTAAAGATCATGAATCTCCAACCCCCCACCACAGGCAGGGCCACCAACCTCCACATTTCATAGCAGCCCAGGCTGCCCAGGGCCCCATCCAACCTGGCCTTGAACACCTCCAGGGATGGACGGGGCATCACAGCCTCTCTGGGCAGCTGCTCCAGCACCTCACTGCTCTCATAGTAAAGAACTTAAATGTATGTTTAAAACTTATGTGTGAATGTATAAGCTGAATCACAGAAGTTTCCTAACAACTGAATGCAGGTTCTCTGTTCTAAATGTGCAACTAGTTAGTTTGCAGCTTAATGAAGTGTCTCATCCTTGGAAATGTCAAACTTTTGGTTTTGTGTAAATAATGATTTATCTGATTTGTTCTGTCCTGTAGAGATGTTTGTATTCTCAATTGCTTTGTTTTACAAATGACTTGCAGCTAATTGCCAAGTGAGCTGTGTGGCTGCTGTATTAAATAGCCAGGAAATAGAGTGATTTCTCCATTAGGAAATTGTTTGGCTGTTAAATATTAGTGGAGAGCATCTAGCATTTGTAAAAGTCCTTTAATTATGACTACACTTACAGTTTTCCACTCCACTCTGTATAGTGGAAGCATGGTTATTGAGCAGAGGGTTTTTTTTTTTTTTGCCCACGAAAACTAAATGAATCATAAAGCAAAGAAATACATTTATCAGCATCCCTCTAAATGAAATATTTTATATTGACAAAAATTTATCGTGTGTATTTAGCTTCAGCAGAGTTCCCACATCAGTGTTTCGCTGGAGCTTTGCTTGCTTTGCTTGGATGCTCCTAAGTTGATGATGCCTCCCGAGCATCCTTTTATAAAGATTAATATTTTATTCTCGCTGCATGCTCCTGTGTCATTAATCACTGGGGGTTGGACTTGTGCAGCAGAGAATGAACAGATGTCGAATTACTGTTGTCTGTAATCATTGTGTATCATACTTGTGAGCTATCTTCACAGCTGGCTTTTGAGCAGGAGACTGATGCCGTAGGCTCTGGATATCTCTGGCCTTGCCATTAATCAGTGCCAGGAGGTGTTTGTGACCGGCAGGGTGGGGAAGGTTAACTTCTCCTCTGCTCTGCTTGTAAATAATCACAAGGTAGTTGATCCACACGGTGTTTTTCAAAGTGGTTTATGGCAAAGGAGGTTCTTAAAGTCTTGTCTCAGTGCGGAGCGAATTACCGAGTAGTAGGTTTGTTGAGATACTTCCCTGTAAGTGCACACACAGAAATAGAGTTGTGTGGTGGTGAGTTCCCTCTGGATTTTACTGCCTTGTAGTTTTACTGGAAGTATTTAGAAGATCACAAAGCTGTTGATGGAACTGTTGCAGCAGCAGCTGCTGCTTTGGCTCAGAAGGAAGCTAAATCCATAGTGTGATGGAGCAGTGGGATGGGGCTGTGTGATGGGAGGCAGTGAGGGTCCTCCCTTGGCTCACCAGTGTCTCAAAGTAGGCCTTGAACAGCCATCAGAGAAGGGCAAGCTCGTGAAAATCATTCAGTACGTGAAAAGGATTTGGTTTCGATCAGATGATGACTGTCATAAAGCCTTTTAGCCGTAGCCTTTGTCTTTTCTTTTTGTCAACTGGCAGCATTTATTCCTTTTGGCTTATTGCAAAGCCATCTCTACATTACTATTTCTTCTTTGGCATAATGCTTCCATTAGTAGCTAGAGGGCCAAGTAAACTTGAGGAAGCACCAAAAGCCTTGGTGCTTTACACATCTCTTGGGTGTTTGTTTTTCTTAATCTGAGAAGAATCTGACTTGTTTTATTAGGTGACCTAGTAGTCAGGACACCTTCACTGTGTTTTATCCTCCCGTGTTCTGCAGCAGCTACAGACAGAACAGCAGATGTTTAGCAGTCGGTGTGTAGGACAGCAGAGCCAGGAGGTGCTGCTTGAGGAGCACTGTCAGATCTTCCAGGAGAAGCACAGGCTGCATGATTCCCAACAAAGTGCTCTGAGGAATCAATTAGTTTTTCCTTTCTCAGAAATTCAGCCTGATCACCTGCTCTATTAATCTATGTGCATTCCAGGCAATCCATGCCAGAGGTGACGTAGCTACAATTTTTGCCTTCTGGATGCTTGCAGATATTAAGTTGATCTTTGACCATTCTCTATTTGCGGGGCTTAGCAGGAACACGAATGTCTTAATTATTGGCAGTAGTAAGTTATTGAATGTAGATTCACGCTGTAGGCTTTACAGAGCTCCATTAGCATGCTTTTGCTGAGATACTTAGCAACTGGGTGGCAGAACTTTGCCTTGTTTGGTGGAAGGAGTGTGCTACACCACTGTGTTCTTGGTTTTTTCTTAGAGTCATAGAATTAATCACAGAATGGCTTAGGTTGGAGGGGGTCTTAGAGATGTAGGAGATGCAACTCTCCTGCTATGGGCAGGATAAATCTGCCTTTGCTTCTTTCTGAGTCTGTCTGGTGATTTTGTAAGAGTGGCCCAGGCACTGAAACAAGGGAATGGCTTTGGGCTAGGAGGGAATGGTCAAGGGCTGCAGCAACTTCCATCCAAGGCAGAAGTTTTAAAGCAAATATAAAACAGGGATGATTCCAGCACGCTGATGGCGAGTCACCATCATCAGTCAGAAAACCTCTTTGCAATGCTGGACCTTCAGCATCCCTTTCAATTTGAGGGGATGCTGTTCTTCAGCTGAGGTTGCGCAGCTGAAGTAAGTGACAGCTACCTGTTGCTTCTAATGCATGCATTGCATTGTCTGCCTTATTAGGGTGGTTTAGAGACTTCATGTTTGGGTAAGCAGCTGTAGATCAGTAATTAATAAACATCCTGGTAAATAAGCTCATTTATTGCCCTTTGTTGTGCTTTTGTGCCTTTAGCCACCGGACTAAGGTAGAATCTTAGGTTTGTCTCAGTTCCCAGTGCTGTTTGGGTCAGTTCTGTTTAGCCACAGAGGTCACCACCTCCTTGCTTTTAATATCTGTACGGATTCATGAATAATATATCTGTAAACATAATGGAAGCTGATGATGATGATGATATTTCTCCAAAATTAGATTTGTTCCTCTTGTAATCCAGTTTTCTTCTCCTTAACGGGTAAGTCATAATGGAAATGAATATGAGAGGATGTGATGCTGTGGCTAGGTGGATTTCTCAATGTAAATATATTGCATGTTTCTTGAGGGAAAAATTCAACCAACACACCATGGTTTTACTCTTTTTTTGAGTTATGAAGCTGGTGGTTAAATGACTGAGAAGTAATGAGATGAAAAAGTTCCATGCTGAAGAAACTGACTCTTGAAAGTGTTCTTCCTTAGAATGAGAGCCCACTTGTGCATCCCAAGTGAACACCTACGTGCAGCAGTCACTTGAGACTGAAGGATATTTCTCTTGGACTGCTGAAGCTGGGTGTGCTTGTACTCCATTTGTTCTCATTCCACAAGCACGAGCCTACAAGGCAGGATAAAGATGTTGCTGTTTTAGTTCCTCTCTAACATCTTGAGCTGAAGTGCTCTCTGTGCTGCACTGTAGCGCGTTTCTCTTGATTATTTTTTTTCTGCCATTGACGTTTATTTTTCCCCATTGTGAAAAAGTTTGTGAGACCAGAATTCTGTCCTTTCTGTGGGGTAGCTCACTGCAGGGATAGGCTCGTGGTAGTTGCTCCAGGAGTAACTGGTTCCCCTCCTTTGGGCATGGAAGTACTGGGCTGGGGGTGGAGGGAGTTGAAACAGGGTTTTAACTTCATCCTCTCTGCTTTGAGCATGAAAAATACATGCTTGATACAACCATGCAGGAGGCAGATGGTGGGCTGTGCAGTATCTCCTTAAGAGCATGCTTTAGCAAGCAAACTCTGTCCCAGTGTTCTCCCTATGTGCACTAAGACACTTGGCAGGTTATACTTTCATCAGATGTGTGAAGTGTTGTGTGGTGTTTTGTAAGTCTGGGTAGCTTGTTTTTAAGCATGGGTGGTTAAAGGCCACGAGACTGCTCAAGCACTTTGCTCAGCTGGGGCAGAAAATGGGAAGGTAGAATTTTGTCTGAGCCTTTTTAGCTTAACTTTCATTTGCTTATATATTTTTCCAGGTTTTTATGGTTTGGATTGAAATGCAGCTGAAATATCTTCTTGCTTTTTTTCTTTTTTTGTCTTAAGCAATCATTGGAGCAGGTTGGCTGTATAGGTAATACTGTGCATTTATTTACTGCTGTGTATGTAATCTTATGTCTTGTGTACAGACTGCAGGGAAATCTTGCTGCCAACAATGACAGATCAGCTCAAGTATCACTTGGAAAGACAAGAAGATTTGGAGGCTTGTTGCCAGTTGCTGAGTAACATCCTGGAAGTGCTTTACAAGAAAGATGTGGTTAGTATCTCATGTTTCTGTGAAGATTAGCATTTAAAAGAAATGAATCTTAGCAGAACTGATTCAGCAGGTAACTCCTGATGACTTAAATTCTTTTCTGTTTCCTTACCAATCTCTTTTAAGGCTTCTTTTTAGGTGTACAATGACAAGGATGTTTTCCCTGACATCTTGTGATGTTTTGTATTGTTTCTGAGGCAATTCCAATCACCACTGCAGTCTAAGAACACTTCTACAGATGCTGGTTAGTGAGGAGGATACATAAGATTGAGAGATAAACCTCTTTCTCATGCAATTCTTAGCTTCTGCCTGGTGGGAAGTACTTGAAATTCCCATCCAGCCAAGCCTTTTGGGAAATGCACGTTTTAATGATACTGGAGGTGGCCCTGAAGGTGCATGTACATGAACATGTAGTTTTATGAATTTAGCAGACTTATTTAACTTAAAGTGCTGTTTAAACTTACGTAGTAGAATTCTACACTTTAGTAAGAAATAACCTGGCTTAGCACTCGATGATCCTTGTGCATCCCTTCCAGCTGAGGTATTTGGTTATTCTGTGGGAAGGTGACTGCTTCTGCATGAGTGCTACAGCTGATGTAGTGGTCTTACAGAAATGGCAGCAGTCTTAAACTGAGACAGGGGAGGTTTAGGTTGGATATTAGGAGGAAGTTTTTCCCCCAGAGGGTGGTGAGGCACTGGCACAGGTTGCCCAAGGAGGCTGTGGATGCCCCATCCCTGCAGGCATTCAAGGCCAGGCTGGATGTGGCTCTGGGCAGCCTGGGCTGCTGGTTGGTGACCTGCACACAGCAGGGGGTTGGAGCTGGATGGGCATTGTGCTCCTTTTCAACTCAGACCATTCTGTGATTCTATGAGATGTCAGGCAGCTGCACCTGCAAACCTGTGAGTGCTCTGGGCAGGCGTGCAGATGTGCAGCTTGCATAACTGTCTTTTTTTTCTTCTGTCTTTTCCTGACTTTGCATGAATAAGCAAATGTCGCTGTCATAAAGACAGCTGATGCTGTCTTAAAGAAGCTGTGGCTGTTGAGGCTGCTGCCTGAATCTTCAGCCCTGTGTAGAAGCATGAGCTCCTTCAGCTGGAAGGTACCTCTGGGGTCACCTGCTCACATAGTATCTAGCATCTTGTTTGACTGTTTTTTGGGAAGCAAAAAAAAACGAAACAAAAACTGATTTCTTTTTTGAAGTAGCGCTGTGTGAGTGCTTCAGAAAGTAGGTTATTTTCAAAAGGGGATTTGTTTTTGACAGCCTGGCTGCTTCCTGTCAGTCTGTGTTGACTGCCTTTCTTCCCATGGCAGCAGGCAACCTGCAGCCCTCCCATCTCTGGAGTTGAGCCCAAAGCTGCCCCACATGGCTGCTGATGGAGAAGGGAGCAGGGGGAGGAAGCAAACTGCAAGCAAGGAGGAACTCAAAGTAAAAGGACAAATAGACAGGAGCAACACAAGTGCAAGGCACGTGGAGAGGAGGAGGACCTTTGAGATCAGGGAGGGCTGAAAGATGGAGCAAGGTGCTGAGATGCACGTGTCTCAGAAGATGATGGAGTAACGTCTGGAATAGGAATAGCACTGGAATGGGCTGCCCAGGGAGGTGGTTGAGTCACCATCCCTGGATGCGTTCAAGAACCGTTTGGATGTGGTGCTCAGGGCCGTGATTTAGCAGAGGGCTGTTAGTTAGGGTAGCATGGTTAGGTTGTGGTTGGACTCGATGATCTTTAAGGTCTGTTTCAACCTGAGAAGTTCTGTGATTCTGTGCTCTTTGTACCAGAGCGATAAGCTCTATCTCAAGACACATTTGTCAGCAGCGGGAAGAAAAATCACATTGGAGCAGTAGTTGTGTGTGTATGGAGGGATGATGGATCACTCTTTGGATATGCAAATGCATTCTTCATGTATGCAAGCCTGCCTTCGGCAATTAAGCATAGTCAAATGATGAGATGCAGGTTATATGATTCCAAGGGCAAGAAAGAAAATGGATCATCAGAGTGTTTGTACAATAGTCAAGAAGCAACAGAAAGATGCAGCTTCATTTACGTAACTTCATGCTTCCAAGTGCTGGCTGTAGCTTTGCACCTTCCCATCTCACAGACCTCTTTGGAGGTCATCCAGACTGATGAGAACTACCCCTGTTTATGAAGTTTAGACTGGGAGTGATGCTCATTGCTGTGGTTTTTTGTCGTGTGTTTTTTGGCCTCAGTTCCCATAGGCAGTGTTCTGCATGAGGTTTCTGACCTTTTTCTTCTAGACTGGTTGTGCAAAATATTTTATTTTCGATTCTTCCAAAAATAATGGCAGGTTATTTATAATGCAGAAATATTAATTTGATGTAATTGGCTGAAATTGAAATTCATTGCCTAAAGTTTCTTAGTTCTTTTTTTGCTAAGATTTTGCATAATAGCTCCTTAGACATGATAATGTGCTTCTGGGGGGGGGAGGGAATGACTTAAGACAATAAAATCAGGTAACTAAATGTCTTGGTCATTGCTTCCATGGACTTGCTTTCTATTTAGAGAACTGCAGCAGTGCTACTAATACATTTATTAATAAAATATTAATAAGACTTTGCATGGTCTTTAAAAAAAATGAGAACAGCAGGGATTAATTTTCTGCTTTTGCTCAATAGAAGTAGGTACTGTTTTATCTATCTTTCACAGGAGAGGTGGTTTTAACTCAAATGTTTGCTTTTCTGTTGGCGTACAGAGTTCAAACTAATTCATTCTTTTTCCTTAGGGGCCAACACAACGACATGTCCAGATAATCATGGAAAAGCTTCTGAGGACAGTAAATAGAACAGTCATTTCCATGGGACGGGATTCAGAGCTCATCGTAAGTGTCTCCTGATGCAAACTTAAATACCTTTGTCACATCTTTGTGAACCTGAATGTAATAGGATTTGAATCCCAAGTGATCTGAAGCAATCAAAACCTTCTGTCACTGTGTGTGTTCAGTAAGCAGTGGAGCATCGGCTTGTAGTTTGTGTGTAGCACAATGTGTGTAAGGGGAGAGGGAGAGTTCTGGTCAGGCTGGGCTGGGTTTCCATCTGTCTGAGTGGCTGACCTCGTGTTCTGCATTCCAGCTGCTTGGATTCAGTGTGTTGCATTGATTTGTTGCTGTCGTTAAGCCTGCTTCACATCATGATCTGTTCCTTAAAAAAACAAAGCGCCTATCTGCTAGTCCAGTGGGCGTCCAGTAACACTTTCTTCTGATCTCCCTTTTCTTTTCCTATTTTGTTTCTCTGCGTAATTGCACGCAGTGATGTTTCACTTTTTATGACAAAGTGCTTTTTCTGCTTTGCATCTTATTATCTACTGCTGTCTCATTTACTTGGTACACAGCGATGCTTTTATCTGAAAGCATACTGCTAGTTTAGTTCTTTCATTCTTCCTCTCCTAACTTTTTTTCTCCTATCCTGCATTTCTATCACTTTGATTTGCAGTAGTAGGTTTTGTCATAAATAAGTGGCATTGGATCATCAGATGGATGGCTGGAGCAAGGGGCAGTGAGAAGCAGCCGTCTTCCTTACAGAATGTTGCCAGATGGGGTTGTAGTAACAGTGGAGAAAATCATAGCATTCATGCCTTGTTTTCCTCTATGCATTACCACAGAAATAACTAATAACATGCAGAACAGATGACTTTAAAATGCCCGCGTGCACTGGGACACAGGGCTTTGCACTTCTTCCTCCAGTTATGGAGTAGTTACAGTCTTCTAAGACATACAGATGGGAATTGAATTATTGTTGTTTTATGGACGTTGATGAATGTTGATTATTCCTTTTGCTTTTAACAAACAGTACTTGAAATTTCTCCCGCGCATGCTTCAGCTGAGTACAGTTGTATTAGAAATGTGGGCAGTGATCATGAATGCAGCTTGCAGGCACTCTGTCAGCACACACTGGAATTGTGTGATGGGTATTAGCAGGCCCAGGTATTTGCATAAGGTACTGAGCTTCAAATTCAGTCTTGCTGCAATAATCCCCCCCGATCAACTGGCAATTCATTTTTGTGATGCCACCTAAGGAGGCAAAGTTAAATGCAACCAATAGCAAGCAGAAACCTGACCCTTCCTGGGTTAGAGTCGGGTTGAAGTTACGCCTTTTCTTTTATCACTACCAGAATTGCTTTACTCAGAATTTATACTGGAGAATTGCTCCTTCAGGATGAGAAGAAGGAAGGAGGAGTTTAAAGATGAGTGACATCACAGAAGCATGGTTGAAATAATAACTTTTTCATAAGTAGTAAAATCAGGGCAGGTGCGTATGCAGTTTGCTTCTTCTGTAAATACTGGCATTCGGCAGTCAGCATGTTTTCACCTTGAAGCAATAGCAATGTCATCTTCAACTGAGGAGCTGATGTTTACTTCTAGAAGAGAACTACCTACCTGCTTGGGTCCTGCTTTGATTAGCACTGGTACATGGGAGCAGCAGTCCTGTTCATATTTGGAACGTGATTTTCATTGCTGTGGCTCATGGGATGCCTGAACTGTGTGATCACTAGGGGTAAATACTGAAGGCATTTGCTTTGTAGGCATTGTTCCCTTTTAAATTACTTGCTGGGTGCCAGCAAGTGGGGCTGGGGATGTGCTGTGTGTGATGTCCTTCAGCATTAGTGAGCAGAAGTCTTCAGCATAGCTTCAGGTTGCTGGATGTGCTAATGTAAGAGGAATACTGAATTTACTGTTGCAGGAGGACGTGTAATTAGAGCCTATTACAGATGCACATAATTACAGTGGTTTTCTCCCCATTAAAACATTCAGATAGGGTTTTGTATGTCTGATACTGATGTGGCTGTTACCAGGTCAGTTTCTTTGGAGAAACGTTGAGGAAAAATGAATGGGCTGTAGTTCCCACTTGACCAAATCCTGTCCTTTGCTGTAGGCAGGGATGTGGGTACATACAGCATTGTGAGGACCCACGTGGAAACATGGTGAGATTTGTTTCTCCATAGGATTCACCAGCATTCCTCATTGGTTCAGAAAATGAGAGAGAATTTTGGTAACTTTTGCCGTATTTCAATGTGAATTTGGTACAAAGCTTTCAAAGGTTTTCATGCTTCTGGCTGCTTGCACAGGTTGGTTCAGTGAAAGCAGTGAATTTACGGGCTTGGAAATCAGTGTTTGTTCCCCACTTGGCACATCAAATAGATTTCAAGATGGAAAAAGTCAGATTGCCATTTTAGTACTTGTTATTTCGGAGTGCGGTTTTTCTTCTGCAAGTCTCACTTGGGTGATTCTGCTCGATCTGCTAAGTGAAGCAGAGCTGCTGTGTAAGTTTTTCCCAGTAAAGGTGAGACCTAGAGACAACTGCTAACAATGCTCATCAAAACTACGGCTGGTTACTAACAGCTAGAATTTGAAAAGGTAATTTTGGCCTTATAAGTGACCCGGGTATCAGAAGGAGCAGAATTTTACCTCCTGTACAATCTCTTATCCCTTCCGACAATTCCTGACCCTCTCTTAACTAATCCCTGGCTTTGGTGAGCAGTGCAGTGCAATCTGTGGTTCCTTTTACGTTGTGGAACAAGCCATGTTTCATTTTGCTAGAGCAAAGATGTAGCTTGGAGGGTAAGAAGTGGCTGTGCTGCTGCGAGGGTGTCTGAGGAGCTCTGAACGTCGTTGGGTGTCTGGTGAAAAACCAACTGAACGCCCACTGTGACACCAATGCCTTTAAATTCCCTTGGGCTGTGTGACAGGAGCAGCGGGCAGGAGAGGACTTTGTGGCTCTAGCAGTGCATAGAGTGGAGCGTTTCCCATGGAGCTTCTCTATCCTGCTGTATTTTGGAAAAGAATGCAGTGAAACCAAAAACTGAGGAGTCGCAAAAGTGATCAGAAAGCAGAGGTTTCAGTGTGAAAGACTTCAGCCATCTGGTGTTAATGGAAGGTTTAGAGGTGCTGCTCAGATACGGTGGGAGAGAATCTCTGCAGGGTGGAAATGATACCGGGCAGAGGGAAGAAGTGGAACTGATGACAAAATGGGAGCAAGAAGTGTAAAACAGCAGAGCACAGCACGGATGTGAGGAGGGAAGACTGAAATAATGGATGGAAGACAGTGGATGCTGTCTGTCTTTTCAAGACAGGGATGCTTTTCCAGAAGTGAAATTTGAGTTATTGATGGTCATGAGAGTGTTCTGAAGCTTACCTTGTTTATGAGTTGAAGCTAGAGGATGTAAATTATCTTTCTAAACCCAAACTTCACAGATAACAATGCTTGGCATTCCCAAGTGTTAAGCAGAAAACTTCATTTTCTTCACTAGACTATTAGGGGGTAAATTTTATTTTATTGAATCGCACGTTTCCTTTTCTTGTGGAAACATTTGGAATGGTGTTGCAAACTTATTTCACTACCTGTTCCACTGGCACAGGCTGCCCAGGTCTCCTTCCACCTCTAAGGATTCTATGATGAAAACCGAAGAGGATGGTGGTAATGGTTTTGTTCTGTCACTGACATCAAGCTGCTTTCCTGCTTTAGAATGGTAACACCAGCAGTGCAGCCGATGGGCCTGGGCTGTGCAGTGCCAGTGCTTATCTGAACCAACTGCACGCACCTGTGCTGCTCAGCAGCTCATTTCCAGCTCTCCAGCGACTTTAATAAGCCCCACTTCTGTATTATGGCTGCTGAAATCATGCAGTCTCTGTCTTTCTACAGGATCAGAATTGCACAGTAACTTTTAGAGGCAATCTGGTGAACAGATTCCAGCAGCAATGTGCGGTGTGTGCGCTACGCAGGGCTGAAGGAATGGGGCAGTCGGTGGCTTGGGGTTGGAAATGTTCCTGAGAAACAAATCTGTCCCCTTTTAAATACCTGATGAACCATTAACACGCTGAGTGAAATGACCAGCACGGAAGGTTTTGCACCTGAAGCAAGAAAAAGCAAACACTTTGTACTGATGGTAGGATTTTTCAGTTTTAATCATCAATTCTTCCTCAGTTTATCCTGATCGTTAAACTATTTTTACAGTGATTTTTTTTATCCTTCTTTAAGAAAACAAGTGATACGTACATGAATAGTGTTTCCTAGTAGTTATAAAACAAAGAACTGCTGCTTAGTGGAAATGATACGGACTTGGAAAACAGCAATATAAAGTCACTGCAGTATTTATTGACTGAAAATTAGCTTCGGCGTGATATGAGAGAAGTGCATGTAGCAAATCAGCGTGTGGTGAATTTGGCAAAACTGTGTCATGGGCCACGCTGAAAGTGAGGATGTATTTCTCTCTGCTATCTCCTCATAGCTGAGTTTCAGGTGTTCTGCACGAGGGTGAAAAGAGCATCGTGTCACATTGAACAAAAGCTCTGAAGAATGAGGGTTCTCTCTGGGTACCTAGGCTGAGCCTGAGCGGTTCTAAAGGCAATACAATATGATACTTTTTACACACTTGCAAAAACATTTTATTACAAATTACATCGGATGGTACCATAGGACACGGTATGGAAGTCGAAGCAAGACCGGATGTATGTCGGCTTTTTCCTTTTTTAAAAAAATGTAAAAAATTAAAAATCTGCAACTCTTTTAAGAAAATAGCCTGAACGTGTCCAGGACACGCCGTGAGAACCTTCCTGTGGAGCTCTCACGTGTTCCACCAGTGAGATTTCCTCTGTGGTGTGACATGCAGACGGAACCCTGGGCTCTGAGCGAGGCAGAACCGCAGCTGAGCTTTGTGTCAGTCCCTGCACGTGAGGACATGGAGAACAGGGTGATGGGGAAAGCTGCTGATGAGGTGACGCTAACGATTTGTAATTGGTTGCCGCTGAGAGATGCTTGATTTAATTTCTTTAATTAAACGGCGCGGTAGCATATAGAAATCTGTAAATGATTGCCATTATTTTGCTGAATATTCAGCTGAATTCAGCTGAAATGCTGAATATTGTTGTATCTTTTCGTTACAGCCACGTTTGATATTTCGTTTTAGGGGAAAAAGAAAATAGATTTTCTCATTTGGAAGTAACTGGGTGGGTTTCTAGAGCGTGTGAGGCGAGCTGCCTCAGAGACAGTTTGGTATCTTTAATTAAAAACGGTATAAAATACACAAAACACACTTCTTCCTCGTGAAACAATTGCACTTCCTTCCTGGTACGCAGGGTCCGGTCACCTCATTTGATCCTTTGCCTTTCAGAGCATTTCAGGATATTGTTTATGTATGTACAAGAACTCGTAGCCCTCTTGAGGTTTCCTACAAAGTGACCTTTTCAGTAAAGCACGCTGAAATTCATTTTGAGGTGGACATTAGCATCTTCTGCATGTCTGTTCCCATTCTAACGTGGTTTTCTTACCTTTTCCCCATAGCAAACAGGCATGTGTTTCTCCTCAGATTTTCTTGTAGTTACGGGTTGGATGTTGAGCTCAGAGAAAACATTTCAAGTTGCTAGTATGTGCAAACTCATCTGCTACTCATGGTGTTTCTACCACCTATAGACTAAAGAATTCCTGTCTCAGTGATGCTGCAGGGTGTGAAATCTCAAAAGCAAATCTTAGTAAAGCAGGCTGCCACGTAGCTCTGTATGACTTCTTAAAAGAGACCCAACACAGCAGCATTCCCTGTCCCTGTCCACTTCCAGTGTGAGATGTGGTCGTTCTAGATATGAGCTTAATGACAGCAACAAGTACTTGAAGGAAACATTTTCAGTTTATAATTCAGAGCAACGTAAAAAGAAGAAATAAAAAGGAAAAATAATCAAACATTTCCTCCCTAGGAGAGTGCTGGTCACTTAGTACAATTAATAGATATGGGTATAAATTGTAATGTGTTGGCTGAGAAACCCATCTGAGAAGCTTGGTAAATAAACAGCTTCTAAAATTGCTGCCTCCTTCCTGACAGGTTTCACAGCATAATGAGTGCTATAAAATTTATGGTGCCTTCTGCAGTAATGTAGAGGTTTTCCAAAGTCTGCCTTAGAAAAGGTTACTAAATCATGGCAAGTGCCAGCAAGCCGTAGAACTTTTTATTGTTCATTTTGTGTTTTTCAGATTGTTGTCTTTTTTTCTGTGCCAGAATGTGTCGTTTAGAGCTTTGGGGCAGCAAGAGATTAAAAGTGAGATTTAGGACGGCTTGTTGTTCTGTAGCCTTGACCCTGTCAGCTTGCTGTGGTTAAGGCCTGTCCTGACTTGGGACATTTCTCACTGCCCACCTGCTGGTGACGGGCAGCAGCCTTGTTTGCCTGGTGGTGGGGACACAGCTAAATTAGAACTGATGGTGCATTGTCAAAACGTGAGAGCTTGGCTGAAGTCTACAACACATGAAGGCAAATACACATATAGTCACATCTCAGAGAGTATTCATGGTCTTGGACCACATGAAAAATTGTGCTTTGTCCAGGATAGATGTGCTGAAAACTGCACTCCCCAATCAACATGGATTTGTAAAACTGAAGATCACTGCATACATAAGGCTTGCTTGCTTTTTCTTTTTTCCCCCCTCGTTATTTAAAGACGATAAACCAAACCCCCAAAAGGCTTTAACACAAGAGTGATATTTAGCTGTGTACAGGATGACAGCCTACGATTTAACAGGTCAGAATGTGATGCTCTCAGATCTAAGGGAGGGGGAGGGAATAAGTTTTCCTTTCCATCTTTGTATAAATTCCAATTCAGGTTTTACATCCCACATTGGTGAACTGCAAATAAAAGCTGACGAGGTGTCACATCACCCCTTGCTTCTGAACACGAGTTTGTAGGTACAAAGGCCTTTTTGGTACACATGGTGAGAACTGAACGCTGCCAGTAGTCAGAGCAGCACGGGCCGGTGGCACGGAGCAACGCACCGAGATCCCGTGGAGATGATTGACAGAACTCCAAATATATTTCAGAGAAGGCCTTGAACTCCACAGCTAATGGACTTGGTTAAAGGAACCAGAGTTTCCATCTTCCATGCTTTTTTGATTCAGTTTTGGATTTTTGCTTGGGGGTTGAGGAGTAGCTCTCCTGAGAATAAGGCAAAGGTGCAACCTGAGTTTCCTCAATAGGATGAAGTTTTCTCAAAACTGGCTGTAGTTTATCTTCTTGCTGCTTGAAATCCAATTCCACACTAAAAATGAGAAGAAAAGGCAATCAGCTACTGCGTAATGATGGCAGTGCTATTTCAATTAAAGCAACATCTGACAACGCTATGGAAAGGCTTAATTTATTAAAATCAAATACAAAATAAACACTTCAATTGCTGCAGCAATTCTTAAACGTGAGACTGGAGGGAGAAAGACGAGGCGTGGGGAGATGCTGGTAAATAGGATCCTGATGCCTTCTTCCTGTGGAGGAGGGCAGTGAGGATGCTGGCTGTGTGGTGAGGGAAGGTGGTGCTCCTTGTTCTCATCCTCCCTGTGCAGGAGGGCTCTGTTGCTGCTCCTGGGCTCTGCTCTCCTGGCTGTGTGCCTCCTGCTCGTGCTGCTCCTCCTCCATAGGTGAGGAGAACCTTCTTTTGATAAAAGCCATTGACAAAAAGGCCGTCCTGGCATTTTGTTGACCGTGGCTTGTTTCTTTCAAGCTTTACCACGAGTTAATTTCACCAAATTGACTCCTAACTATGAGTCTATCATAGTTATGTACTTCTCTATGTTAAATTGGGACATTAAGAACTTAATTCTCCCATACACTGCAAGCCTTCTCCTTATGCTGATAGCCCTGTAGGAAGGATGGTGACAAAAAACCTACTGAGCCCCTGCTGTGAGTGAGTGCTGGGGCAGAAACATCTATGGATGGCTATCTATTTATTTAGCTGATTGGAAGAACCCATTTCAGTAATAGCTAGTGTGTACTCGCTTTTTTTATTTGCTATTAAACATAGAAATAAGGGAAACACTCATTTCATCCTAAGCTTGGATTCAAAATGTACTTAAGATCCAGGCTACTCCTTCTGAATTCTAAGCGCTCTCGACTACGAAATCCTACTAGCAATTAAGGAATGTCATAAAGATGAAATTATAACTCTTATTTCAATAGAGAGAGCTAGAGATTCAAGTTTAGCTAATTAAACGAGGCACAACATGAACTTCAGTAAAACCTGACTTCTGTCTGATAGCCAAATCTAGGCTACTTTCTTTCCTATACCATGAAATGCCACAGTTTCAATTGCATTTGTATGTCAGCCTCTGGCTGAGCCCTACGGTGACTCTTTATCCTGCCTTGGACATTACACTGGCAGCTGGGTGTTGAAGGGTAAATTTAGGAAACAGTGAAATTGATGGCATGTTAGCAACAGAGACTTCAGTTTCTTTCTTCCCTGCACGTTGCTTGTTATTTTAAAATGAACATTTGTTTTGAACATACGCGCATTAGAGCAGCATCTGCAAGTACTGAATTTGCAGTAAGTCACAGTGTTGGATATCCTGCTACTACAAGGGCAGTTCTAAGACCACTGAATCTGCTGTTCATCCTTGCTAATGAAGGAACAGTGCAGCCTTCAACTTAAGAACACGTTCGTTTTTCCAGTTTAGCTTGCAAAAAGCTCTTGGTTAGATAACTGTGACATGAATTTTGTGGGAAGATTCATCAATCCATTGTAAACAGCCCACCACATCAATGCTCTAGGTAATGCAGTGAAAGAAGCTCAGATGAAGTAGATTCTGGCACTGGTAGAGGTCAGTTCAAAATGTTATTCTTGCATTCAGCTGGGAAAGTGTCTGAAGAGCTGCTCAAAATCAGGGTGAGAAATACATCACTCTAAGGAAGCCAAGAGCGCAGCAAACAAAAGCCCCACAACTTTTGGAGCAGAGTAACTTTTTCAGAATCGATTTCTATTGGAGGCAGACTTCAAGGGGAGAACTCTTAGTTCTGGTCCAGACAAATTCTCTGCTGCATCGCTCTCTATTTGCAGCTCATTGAAGGCTGGTTTTTTTTTTTTCTCATCAATTTACATCAAAATAAAATCTTTCTTCTGAGAAGCAGAAAGAGGATGAAAGAAAACTGTATTATCCCAGCTTTTGCAGCTGCGTAAGAATTGTTGTCTATCAGGATCAATTTATTTAGCTTTGTAGGTGTTCTAATGCAACCATTCCTTTGAGGCAAACGATTCGTCTGCTTGTGAGCTTGGGATGTGAGCATACTGTTGGTGCTGCAGAAATAAGACCAAAGCCTCCTTACTCTGTGGTTTTTCATCTCTCCCTAACTCAGCTGTTGCTGATTTCACATTTGGTTTTAACATTCTATCAAACATATGGAATGCTATTAAACTCAGCAAGCATTACGTATTTGTGTGACCTCTGTGGTGTTGTTACGTAGGGCTGGATATTCCCTACAGACTGTTCCCCTATCTTTCCTGTTCTTGCTTTCATGAACTAGTTTGTGTCACCTGTCACAGCTCTGACAGCTTCATTCTGCTTAGTGGTATTTTTATATCCCAAGTAACTGTAGGTTTCCTCTCGAAATGACCTTTCCCTGAGATGCTTTCTGTGCCACGTGGCTCTTTCCACTTTCAAACTGTTTTCATCTCTTCAAGTGTCCTCATGCTAACTCCATCAACTGAATTAGTGAGGGCCATATGTATGTTCTTCTGTCTTTATTCGTTATGGAGGTTGTTGGCTTTGGAAGTGCTTCTCCATATTGAGATGACAGAGTGTATTTTTCAGTAGTTAGATTGGCGATTATGAGTAAACCCTACAACAACAAGAGATGAATCTGAATATGAGAAATGGTTCTGGTGTCACAAATATGCACCTGTGGCATGCTATGCATTCACTTAGCAGCGTTGTCCAGTTTGTCTCCATTCTCAGTGCCTATCTGAGGTTTTCCCTTTGTGCAGCACATTGCACAGATGGGCTCTTTTGGTTTTTCTGAGCGCCTATAGACAGCTTTGTTTTGTCTGTGATAACAAAAATTCTGTTTTTCTGTGTGTTTTTTTTTCTTTTTTTTTCCTGAGAGCCACTATATATTCACAGGGTTTGTAACAGGATCGTGGCATTTGCACGTGAATCAGTGTATGCATATATGTGTCAGTCCTGTGAAAATTTGGCCAAAGGAAATCAAACGGCAGACCTCTGAGAATTGTGTCATTAAACACAGGCGAGAACTTTGTCATTAAAATCTCTGAGGTTCTGTCACAGTGAGCCGGTTCTGATCCAGGACTGATCAAAAGCATTGCTGCAGTTGCAGCTGTGGATGCTGTCAGTGTGTGCCTGACGGAACCCCTGAGCACAGGACCCCACGTCTGCTTCTCCAGTCCTGTTCTGCTCATGACTGATACTTGCAGGCAGAACCCAATGTGTGATCGCATGCTTTTTTATTTCTTTTCTTTCCCGTTTCCTGGGCCCTGTTGTTATTTACTGCACAGCGTGTGCATGCAGCGAAGCCCAGCAGAAACGTGAGTCAGGGTCTGCTCTGTCCATAGGAAGCATCATTCCCTTGCTGTGCAAGTTTGGTTTGCAGCGAGTGAGGCGGCGTTGCCTTGAAAATTATTTTCATTCCGTGATGTTAATTTCAGAATTGTAGTCAGCAGGAACCTCTGTGGGGTTTCTGTGTTTGTTTTTGCTTTGGGCTCAGTGTCCCCCAGCCTCTGCTTTCGGTTTGTGAAACGGAAGCTGTGCGTTCTGAAAGCAGTGGGGACTCACAGAATCACAGAATCACCCGGGTTGGAAGGGACCTCAAGGATCATGTAGTTCCAACCCCCCTGCCTAGCAGGGCCACCAAACACACACATTCAGATCAGGTTGCCCAGGACCCCGTCCAACCTGGCCTTGAACACATCCAAGGACGGGGCATCCACAACCTCCCTGGGCAGCCCGTTCCAGGGCCTAACCACTCTCCTTGTAAAGAATTACTCAATCCTGTAATGCTGAGTTCTCCAGGATAAACTCAGAGAGCTTTTCAGTGCAGGGTTAGAACACCACGTATCCTCAACAGCTGCTCAGCCACGTATGGTGCACGTGGATTAAATGCAGTGCTTTCCAGAGGTGTCAGGGCTGTGTCCCTACCTGGGGCCCGCCGCAGGATAAAGGAAGCAATGCAGAGCCCTTCCCAGCTGCGGCCAGGCAGGCAGGTTTGCTCAAGGCATGCCCACGACACAGCCAGCTCCCTCAGACTTTTCTTTACGCTTAATCCCATTTTCTGAATCTTAGCACTGTGCACTAGGGATTGGTGTGCTGGATTTTCTGTTTTTGGCTTTGTGATTTATTTTTTTTTTTTAATGATTTGAGAATATATGTTAATGAGCGTGTTTATTTTTTGCACGCTGGCAGTAGAGTGAGCTTTTTCTAATTCTGTTGCAGTATATGGGATTGAAAACAGTTTGAGGAGTCATAACTACTTGGTTTTAAACATACGGGACGTGGGAGGATATCTAGCAACAAGCTCAGGAATTTGGATGGGCTTTCTTTTTTAACGTAGTCACACGTTATTAATATGCATCATTTTGAGATACTAGATACTAACAATCTGATGTGTTGCTTACTTGTAAGACTGCAGAATCAGAATAGCCCAGATTCAGGGCTGTGTTGCTTGGGGCCTTTATCCAGTCACCTCTTGAAAGCACCAAGGATGGAGCTTGCCCAGGCTCTGAGCAGTTGGCCCTCTGCTTTCCCCTTCAAGGGGCGGACATTTTTCTCTCTATTCAACCTAAACCTTCCTCATTATAGTTGGCATTGCCTCTGTTTACCTTGTTACTACCTAGTTTGCAGTGTTAAAGCCCAGATCCTACAAGCATTTGTAGAGCAGCTTAACTCTTTGCATTGCTAGGTGAAACAGGAATTAAGGAGTATCATTGTGTCTCCTAGCTGCATTAATAGGATGACATGGAATTAGTGCATGCTGCATCTTGGAAGAACAGGATCCAGATAAGCACTAATAACTTGAAAATTAGCTTAATACACTTTCAAACAATCTCTTTAAAACTTCCTATTTTAACCTGAATATTACAAATGCCCAGGATCCAAAACATTGTCAGTGCTGGCAAGCCATTAAGATCCATCTTTCAACTAAGAATCGTACAGTCTAGGGATAAGAAGTCTGTGAGAAAGAACACAGGTTTGTTAATGTGGGTAGGAAATAAAAAAGATGGTGAAAATTACTGTTCTGGTCATGTGGGTACCTGATTTTACTCTAGTGATAGTATCTTAGGAGTTTATATTTGTCTTACTTTGCGTGCCATCTTCTTATATTTTCCTAATTATCAGTGTATCTAACACCTTCACGAGAATGGCTTCCATGGGTTGCTGTGCTGCCTCCTTGATGTACGGAGCCATGATTTTAACCTGTAATGGTGTATTGAGAGTGCTCTCATAATGTTTTCAGCTGAATAGCTGGAGCTTGCCATGCAGTGTCGAAGACAAAATTAAATGCTGAGAAACAGCTTGTTGCTCAGGCTGTGCTCGTATTTCAGTTGGTTTTGTGCTGACAGCATACCCTAACAAGACTCGTCTGTTTTTAGAAATATTAGTGCTGAATCTGTATTAGTTTGTGAAAGACACGTGCAGATTTTTTTGTCTTTTTATTGAATTTTCTCTTTCGTTTGTAAATGATGGACGATTTTGAAACTGATCTGTGATCTCTGGTTAGGAGACGTTGATCCTAATGGAGTAGGCAGATGTTTCACATGGATTAACACTGAACAACGTTTGCTTGTTTTTACTGTTCGAAATCATGATTTTTGAATAACTAATATAATGACTGCTTATTAATACCTAATGAGTGGGAGGCTAGTAGATGGAGCCAGGCTCCTGTTGGTGGGCCCCAGCAACTGGACAAAGGGCAACAGTACAAAGCAAGCACTGGAACAGGCTGCCCAGAGAGGTGCTGGGGTCTCCTTCTGTGGAGGTATTCCATACCCACCTGGATGCCTAGCTGTGTGACCTGCTGTGGGGAAGCTGCATTAGCAGGGGTTGGACTGAGGGAGGTCTTCAGAGCTCCCTTCCAACCCCTCTGGTTCTGTGACTGTGTGAAAGCCTTCATTTCTCTCGGAGGTTCCAGCACTGCAGTGTGACTCGTGGAGGAGAAGAGGATAGTACAAGGCAATCTGTCTTAGCGGTAGTTTTATCAGAGGATTTCTCTTCTGTCCCTTCTGACTACTTATCTTGTCAGAGTAATTCAGGCTTCTCATAGTTCCCCTGTTTCACACCGTCTTCTGCATTTAGACTTTTTGCCTGCAGCATGTATTCTCCTACTCTGACAAAGAGCTGAGCTGAGTTTTGCTAAAACTTCCCCTGGAAACACTGCTGTAGGCAAATGCCCAGCATGGATAGCTGCAGTCCAAGTGGCTGTTCTGGTGAGAAATGCTGTTATGTGTATGCAAGGAAACACTTCCATTGTTTGCAGTGAATGTAAGAGGTAAAAACTGGGAAGTTGCTTAATTTAAATTGTGCTGACTCGAAATCGAGACCTTCAAATAATAATTCAGATTGGATTTGGGTTTTAGTTAACGAGACAAAAAGAGCATCTCTGATGGCAGCGTGCTCTGCTGCAATTTCCCAGTCTGTCTTGAGAAGGAAATTGCTGGGGATGAGCAAGCAGAGAGGCAGGGCTGGCCTTTAGTATTGACATGCTCCTAAGTACTGCTGTAAAGGATAAATAAATCAATTGGTTCCTTCCCCTGCACTGAACAGCATCTATCTCTTTGCAAGTTAGTCAGCAAGGAGAAAAGGTGGAGTTGAAGTTCTCCATCCCTTTTACTTTCACTGCTAGGAAGCTAGGAGCTAATGCACAAATAGGTGCAGATCTACCTAAATCAGAGATCTAGTGGAGAAACATGCAGGTTTTTCAGACCTGGTCAGCAATAGTACATTCATTTTAGTTGGTATCTGTAGTTAATAGCCATCTTTATGGATTTTCTTTCGTACTGTACTGCCTAATTTTCTTAAATACTTTCCTGATGTATTTCAGAAAGAAATACATTTTCAGAACGTTTTATCCCTTTGTGTAACAAAGAGAAGAAATCCCTGCTGAAATGATAATCTGAGTTACGTTTGTTTTCGTCTTACCTGCAACACATGTAAATATGCAGTTGCTTTTCTTTAAGCCTCTCTGTAACGGAGGAGGGCAATTAAGCTGTCAGTATGAAACACATCATCAGACTCCTGGTGGCTTCATGTCATGCCCACTGATTATCTGCTATTCCTTCCTTACATAAACACATGGCAAAAGAAGCTTCTTGGCTGATAAACTTGAGGAGGGGAACCTCTGCTTTAGAGCTAAATGAAACGTGTCCTTTTACCTTTGGCACCTGGTCTGTTTCTAGTGAGTGAACTCCAAGCATTTCCTTCTGCAGAAGAAATTCTAGCAGCTACAGACAGGAAATTCTAGCAGGTATAAACAATCTTCATAAAGCCTTTCAGCTTTGAGCTGTTTGTAATTGCTTATTGGTTTGACAGTAACAAACAGACCTGTGTTCATGTAACGGATCATACACCTTCAGAATGAGTCTGTATGCATGCAACAGGGCTGTGTGTGTTGCATGAAGACTGAGGATGTCTGATGTAAAGAACTTACAGCTGCTGTTCATGTTGGGGTATTGGCCAATGGGATAAAATTCCTGCACTATAAATGTGGAAGTATGTAAAAGCCTGGGTAGTAACATCATCTAAACTGCCTGGATTGAATGTGTATGTGGTTATGTTTGCTATAAAATCTCTTGGAATTGCTTCCCCAGTCCAGTGCTTACTGCTATAAAAGTCAATTTATGTTGAGTTGTTGAATAGAAAATTGTAAGGATTTGTAGCTATGTGAAAGTGAGGCTTGTGACTTGCAGTACTTCACACCCAAGATCTGCAGCAGTGCTACTGACCACAGTAATCTGCAGCCCTGATCTGAACATTTTAGACAGTTATCTGTTGAATTTAAATAACTGAGGGTGAATTTATTTTCTGTTTGCTGAGCTGTTTTTTTTTTCTGTATTGTCTACATGGAAACAAAACAACGACAAAAAACCGAATAGAATCCCAACAACTGAATCAAGGCTGACATTTGATATTGCACTAATGAATAAATCATTACCTCTCACTCAGTACGAAGTGGGATGGGAGGATTGTGACCCACCTGTAGATGATACACGCGCTGTTCCTGCACGTGTCGCAGTTGGCCGTGTCTTGACCGGTCCGATATGAAAGCCTGCAAAGATAAGAACACCAGGTCATTCAAATGTCATTTAACAGATTTTTGCCCTCAATGAGTGCTTTTTGTAGAAATGAGAACTTCAGGAATTGATGATGATTATTTTTTTTATCTGTAATACTTAATGGGATGATAATATTCATCTTTGCTGGGGATGATGATTATTTTGGACAGCAAGCGATTGATTGCTGGAAAAAGATTCATTTGTTATATTTTTGTATATTGATGGAATACAAAAGGAAATCTAGTTGAGTGCTCTCTTTATCTAAAGCCTCTGTGTGCCGCGTGCTGAACCCTCACTGCAAATGGACACAGCTGGTTCTGCAGACGTGACGCTGCTGTGTGGCTTTCTTCTCTTCCCAAATACATACGGCTTCACCTCCTTACTGGTGATCCTAGCCACGGTGCAGATGGAGCTGAACTTGTGAGGGGATGTGAAAGATAACAAGAGGGGGTTCTGTAGGTACACAGGAAGGAGGAGACAGACCAAGGAGAGTGTTTCCCCTCTGCTGAAAGGTAATGGGGAGCTGGCTTCCTCAGGCATAGAGTGAGTGCTGTGCCTCGGTCTTCACAAGTGGTCCGGCTTCCCATGTCTGCCAGGACCTTCAGTCTCTAGGTGAGGCTGTAGGGAGTGATTTCTGTCCCACAGTAACAGTGGAACAAGTCTGAGTTGTCTTGAAATGGAATGTATATAAGTCCATGGGGCCGGGTGATATCCATCCTAGGGTTCTGAAAGAGATGGCTGATACCCAGGCTGGATGTGGCTCTGGGCAGCCTGATGTGCTGGTTGGTGACCCTGCACATAGCAGGGGGTTGGAACTAGATGAGCATTGATGTCCTTTTCAACCCAGGCTGTTCTATGGTTCTTTGATTCTAAGGAGCGTAATAGTGTAAAAATGTACTTAGTTGTTTTGTCCTTTGGGTCTAAAGACATGTTGTGGTGGTTCTGTGAGAAGAAAATACCATTTGAATACTGTTTGCTTTTCTCACCTGGCCTGTGTCTATCTGTTGTCACAGCTCAGTCTGAAGCTTGCTAGTGCTCTTAACTTACAGGCGCGTTCTCTCTGGTGTGGTCAGTTTGGAAGGAAAAAGAAACCTGTGGCACAGAAATGATTTTCTGTACATGGGCAGGAATTTCATTAAAATAAATGTATGAAATTACAAAGAAGAAAATAGCCTGCATAACCATGCAAATGTCCTTGTGTGAGGATGATTTGAAAATGAAAATTAAGTCCTAGAATCACAGAATTACAGAGTCACAGAATGGCCTGGGTTGAAAAGGAGCACAATGCTCATCCAGTTCCAACCCCGTGCTGTGTGCAGGTCACCAACCAGCAGCCCAGGCTGCCCAGAGCCACATCCAGCCTGGCCTTGAATGCCTGCAGGGATGGGGCATCCACAGCCTCCTTGGGCAACCTGTGCCAGTGCCTCACCACCCTCTGGGGGCCACATCATCCCATCAGCTGACATCAGTCAGTTCCACATTGGCTTTGCAGCACAGAGGGGACAGCAGGACCTCGTCTGTGCTTCCCTCACACAGCAGCAATAACGAAAACTCCAGCATTTGTAAAAGAGTTGATTTAATTTTCATGTGACAAAATACCAGACCTCTAGAGTATAAAATATTAATGGAAATCAAGTGACAAGGCATGTGCTCATCCCTAATGTGGAAATGCAGTTGTTGGCTATTTTTTGGTAACTAACTCCTGATGATTTATCTCGGTGAGCACGCTGCCTTTGTGTGGCTTTGCTGTCCTTCCTAGGAAAACAACCAACTCTTATTATGTTAAGGTTTGAACATTGTTTTTAAAGTTCATTAGGTTACTTGCATATTTTATATAAAAGATGTTTTTAAGCGAGAAGAAACGTATCAGTGTGACCTTGAAGGCAGAGGGTGGATGTGGCATTGGCTTAGATCAGGCTAGTCTGCCCAGGAGGACACTGCTCCGGCCATTGGGAGCACTGGGATGTGTAAATGGTGTGGGGCATTGTCACAGCAGAGCGCTCTGCCGTGGGGATGGAGCTGCTCAGCACAGCAGTACTGCAGGCAGCAGTTAATAGGGCGAATCTGCTGCTTCTGTAAGATAGACTTCTTTTTTTTTCCCCATGAAAGAAAAATGCAAGGTAGAGTTCTTGCTGTTCTAATTGTTGGTGGTTTTGTTTTTGTTTCCACACCTATTTTACGAGCGCTGGGAACGTGCTGGATTTAAAACCTGATACCAAGTAATAACGTGCCCTTGGAAATAATTTTTATCTGGAGGAATGCACTGAAATTAACTGCACTGCTAAATTTTAACACAGCTACAAAGGCAAGCTGGCAAAAGAACTGCAAGTAGAACTCTCTGTGAGGTACCATTCCTTATGGGGGATAAAGCAGCACTGCTTTGCATTTGCTTGTACTTTTTTTGTGCTCTCAGGGGTGAAGTCATTTCTGTTTTGCAGTTCCGCTTTGATTATTTGGAGGCAGACATTCAGGTTGTCACTGCAGCATTAAACTTGGACTTGTACAATTATTTTTTCAAGCTATTGATCAAATACTAAAAACTCTTAGCAAGGACACAACACCTCAAGTTTACAGATAAGCTGCTGAAAGCCTTTATTTACCGAGGACATAAATGGTAGTTAATAATTGCCTTCAGAGGAACACAGCACTGTTGTCTGAATGCCTCTTTATAGATAAAGACATAAACATGCTGCGTAGGGTGCCAGTTTTTTTCATTAGATGTCAGTTGGGACATTTTAATTCCTCTTTGTAAGCCTGCAAAGTACCCTTTAATATACAGGTAATTAGCTGCTTCAGAGCCTAACGACCTCCTGCTCTGCACCGCTCTGCTATTCCTGCACTGTGCTGCTGGGCTGGGTAACAAGTAGAACCAGTAGCTTAAGAAGTTTCTCAAAGTCCAGCTTTGGCACAGAGCTTAGAAATGCTTCAGCAACAAGGGTTCAGTCTCAAATTGATTGCCATGTTAAAAACCATGCAATGTGTCTCTGAATCGTTATCCTTCGTTTGCTCCGTAATAAGGGTGTGTGTGCTCTGATCACTGCCTTCGTTGCTGAGCCGGTTTCATAGTCGTAGAATGGCTGAGTTGAAAGGGTTGTCAGCCACTAGATCAAGTGCTAGATCAGATTGCACAGGGCTCCATCCACCCTGGCCTTGAGCACCTCCAGGGATGGGGCATCCACAATCTCTCTGGACAGCCTGTTGCAGCACCTCACCACTCTCTCAATGGAAAAACTTCCCCCTGATACCTGATGTAAATCTTCTCTCCTTCTCATTTCCTCTTGTGCTATCACTGTCTACTTGTGTAACAAGTTGTTTTCCCTCCTGTTTATATCTCCCTTTAAATACTGGAAGGTCATAATGAGGTCTTCCCTCAGCCTTCTCTTTTCCAGACTGAACAAACCCAGCTTCTTCAGTCTGTCTTTGTAGGAGAGGTGCTCCAGCCCTTGGATCATCTTTGTGGCCCTCCTCTGGAGTCCCTCCAGAAGCTCCACATCTTTTCTGTGTTGGGGGGCCTCACACTTGGTTGCAGTACTCCAGATGGAGCCCCATGAGGGCACAGTAGAAGGGGACAATATTCTTGCTGTCCCTGTTGGCCAGCCCTGTTCTGATGCAGCCCAGGATACCACTGGCCTTCTGGATTGCAGGCACACCCTGCTGGCTCATGTTGTTCAGTTTTTCACCTACTGAGACCCTGAAGTCTTTCTCAGCAGGACTGTTCTCAAGGAGTTGTTCTTCTCCCAGTCTGTATACATATCTGGGATTACCCTGACCCAAGTGCAAAGCCTTGCACTTTGCTTTGTTAAACCTTACTGGGTTCACAAGGGCCCACCGTTCAAGTTTATCAAGGTCCTTCAGGATGGCATCCCCTCCTTCTGCTGTGTCAACTGCATCACTCAGCTTGGTGTCATCAGCAAACTTGCTGAGGATGCACTTGATCCCATCATTGATAAAGATGTTAAAAAGTACTGGTCCAAGACCAACCCATGGGGGACACTGCTCATCACCAGCCTCCATATGGACATACACCAGTTGACCACAACCCTGTGGCTGTGACCTTCCAACCAATTCCTTAACCATCAAATAGTCCACCCTTCCTATCTCTCCAATTTAGAGATAAGTAAGTAAGATCAGTAAGTACCTTACTGACCAGGTACTGACAGCACTATGCCTGTAACATTCTAGTTGCCATGAACTCATTGAACATTCATAGGCTGGTTGCTTATTTAGCAGAAGTTTGGAAAAGACTTCTTAAGATCCCCATGTCCAGCCCCAGCCATCCCCACCATGCCCTCTGAGCGTGTCCCTTAGTGCCACGTCTCCATGGTTCTCAAACCTGCTCATCTTCAAATGCACAGTAATCCCAGATCTTCAAGTATTTTAAGACATTTCTTAATTGATGGCATTTGACAGGCTCAACCTGATAGAAATGATGCTTGAATATAAGTATTAAGCAGGATTTGGTTTTTGGATGATCATTTTGAAAGCCCAAATTCTCAGCTGGCATGTTTGGCTCTGCTTGCTTTTAGCTTCATTGCCATTCACCAACTACACTGATATGCGATGATTTTTTCCTACTCTGATGTAATTTATGATAAACTTTTCTTAAAGTAATATTTCCCTAATGGAATATATTCAGCTTTTTCAGAGGTGATTTTTCTTTCGCACAACAGATGAAGTGATGTTGCCTTCTCTGAAGTCTCCCTGCCTTGGATTTCTTCCTAGGAAGCCCTCCCTGCCTGGCCTCACAGCACTTGGTTTCTGTAAGGCAGTGTGATAGTTCTGCAGCCAGTTCTGTGTTGTACAAGTGTCTCTCCAGTATGAATTCAATTACATATATAAACTGAACTGCTTATGAAATAATTGTTGTTTTTACCCTAGGGCTATGGACTTCTCCTTGTTTTTATGCAATTATCTACGTAAACACATGCAAAGAATTAATCTACCTTGTGCCAACAGAGATTTTACTATGAGAATAGTAGTTTTGCATGTAGATCTCACACCGCGAGGTTGGATTTTACGTGCAGGCAGTGAAGAATAGAGCTGGTAAAGGTGGTTATCCTCATTGCTAAGTGGTGGAGCAGTGTGTGAGCACATCTGGGTATCGGGGTGAAGAGAGCGATGTTCTGGTTGTGCTGTGTGAGATGGAGCGTTTTGAATAAAATCCTTTCTTGCCTCCACTTAAAAATAATTTAATAAGATGAATCCAATTTGGAAGAGGTCAGCCTACAGACCAGTCAACTTTTTCTTCACTGGTAAACTCACAGCTATTTTTCAGTATTTATTCAAGTAAAATGTGAGGTTTTCCCAGAAAATAAAGATTGCTACAGAACATTTGTTTTCTTTTGAGAGAACTGAAAGTTGGCTTTGGTCTGGTTGAGACTCAAAGCTGAGCCCTTCACTCTGCACTCACTGAGATGCCTGGGAGCCAGGAGCTCCCGTTGGCGATGTGCTTTGCTTAAAGAGTCATTCAGCCTTGCAGCTCATTCTGCAGTTTTAATGCTGTGATTTTGGGACTGCTGCATTGGTTTAAGAGTAAGAAGTAGAACGTTTCATAACTTGCTTTAATCTCCCTTTTTTCATCCTTTCTTATAGGAAAAAAAAAAATAGCAAGAGAAACAGAACAGTGGTAGGCACAGGGTGATTGATCATTAAATTCATTTGAAAACCCATTTTAAAAAATAATCAGAGGGACATGTTTATCCCAAAGATTCCATTGTGTAAATGAGCCCTATTGGCTGGGGATGAAGGCTGTGTACCTGGTGTGGGCAAACTCTGGACTTGGCCTCGTGGGGAACTCGATGGTCCTTAAGGTCCCTTCCAACCCAAGCCATTCCACAATTTGTGTGATTGGAGCTCACCTGCTGATGCTGAGACATGCTCATGCTTTGTAGATGTTGAACAGCCAATTTTTCCTTTTTCATATACACCAAAAAACGTTGTTATTCCCAAAGCTTCATTCTTTGGCACCTTACACCTTGTATTTTGTTTTCGTATGGGTGCGTGCGGGTGGGCCTGGTTAGCCTTGTGCATTGCATGATGCTGTATGGTCCAGGTACTTGGGGAGGCATGGATGTAGGTTGGTTCGCTGCTGTGGCTGTGTCTAATTAGCTGAGTAACCTTGCAAAGGGTATCTGATCTCCATACTTAGCTTTTCACATGTGGTTGTTATCTCCATTGCGTATTACATGCAGGAGGCTTTCCTTCTATTGCATTTCTTTCAGCATTCTTGGCAGAAGCAGGACTTAACCTCAATTAACACTTCCAAGTATTAAAATATTATAATGAAGAACAGCCATTTTGCTGACACAGACTGGCAGAAACTAATAACAGGCTGCAGTTTTCAGAGGAGCTGAAGGGAATTACACTCCTAAATCCCTGTGAAAGGCAGAATTTGGGCAGCCGCTTGAGGCACCTTTTGAAAATACCAACCGTAACACATCAAAACTATCTTTGCATGTGAGTTAAGTCTTTGCTGGTATGAATTATAGACTACACTGAGGTGAGGGAGGGAAGCTTAGAACTGTATGTGCTGGGTTCCTTCCGTTGTGTGGTAGGTAGCTAGTGAGAGAGCACTACCTCACGTGTCCCGAGCAACTATTAAAAACAAACGGAAAATCTCATAGAACAATTTGTGAGGGCAGCTCTGTTATGTCTGGATGTCTTCCATTATCCGCAGGGATGCAGGGAATGCTTCATATTAATTGAGTTACTTAATGGCACGGTTTTATAGAAGTGGCTGTGCTTCAGAGTGCATTTATGCTCTGATGGGTATGCTCGTTAGATGATACTGATGCTCATCGTGCTTTTATGTACTGCTGCCAACAAGGAGGATAAACAGACTTCAAGGATTATTTTTTGTTGTTGTTCTTGAGGCTTTTATTAAAATATAGCGCAGCAAATTGTCATAAGAAGGCAGTGGGCCTTTGAAGTTGTTCTGAGTGACAGCTGTGGGCAGCACTGGATAGCTGGGGAAGCGTGGACCACCGTTCTCCTTTGTATGAATGGGCATTGTGTTTCCATGCAGTGCCTGGTCCTGCTGGGACAACATGCAGCGTAGAGCTGAGCACAGTGCTGTTACCTCTGTGTGCAGAATAATGGTTTTAAAATAAACAGTCTAGTGGTGAACTTCTCAAAAGCGGTGTTTCCTATTGTATTAAAGCACTAATATGGCTAATAACTGTGCTTCAGGAGAAAATTATCTGTACTTAATATCAGCATAATTTGCTTTTGGCAGAATAGATGACTTCACTGTGTTCTGAGTACTGTAGTTATCCTCACGGCTTGAATAACCATGATATAGCTACGCAAACTAATTGATGTGTTTTGCAGATGAAAATATATCCTGCTTAGCCGTAGAGTCTTAATCTAAACTAGAAAAGACTTGGCATTATGTTGGGTTGGAAAGCTTTCTCATCTAAACACACTTCTGCCAGCTAAGTCATGTTTCTGCTGGAATCCTGTTTCAGATTCCCTTAGGAAGCTGCACCCAGAGCAGCGATACATACAGATATGCAGATAAAGCACCTCGGATCAGCTGAGCTCATAGAAGGGTGTTCTGTGACATCCGCCTGGTAGTTTGGGAGAAAAACTGACTTAGCCTTACTGTTGCTGTGTTTCCATAACATTGAAAATCACCAATTAAGCGTTTTCATTTATGAAAGATATTGGTGCAACCATAATAAATAAACAAAAATACAGCAGGTTCTTGGCAATCAACTTGACGCTTAAACTTTGTCAGGCTACCTCTCGGTTAATTGAGTTTTTTAATTTTAGAGATGTGCCAGGTTTCTTTTTTTCTTCTTCCCATGTTTTCACCTGAAGCTTTTATTTATTAATCTCTGGGGATTTTTTTTTTTTTTTTTTTTAACTGTGTTTTATTCATTTCTTGAGTAAAAGCCCTGGGAATCAGTCCTAGCTGTGTCTCCCACCAAACATGGGTCCCTTCTGCTCACGTGCAGGTCACAGAATCAGACAATCATTGGAAATGATCTCTCAGATCCCCAACTCCACCGTGCCCACTGCCCACATCCCCACAGCTATGAGCACCTCTATGGACAGTGGCCCCACCAGTCCCTGTCCAGTCTGTGCCACAGCATCACCGCTCTTTAGGAGAAGAGATTTTCCCTAATATCTGAGCTGAACCCTGCCCAGGGCAACTGAAGGCCATTGCCTCTGGTCCTGTTGCTGTTACCTGAAGAGACCAACCCCTCACCTTGCTGCAACAGCTGTGGAGAGCAATAAGGTCTCTGCTGAGCCTCCCTTTCTCCAGACTGAACAATTACAGTTCCTTCAGCCACTCCTCATAAGCTTTGTGCTCCGGACCCTTCACAGCTCCATCACCCTTCTTTGGACACACTCCAGTGCCTCAATGTCTTTCTTGTAGTGTGGGTCCCAAAACCTAACGCAGTGCTTGAGGTGCAGCCAGGTGTGACCAAGTAGAGGTTAGCCTCACCAGCAGTGTGGAAGCTCTTGGAATATTTAGAGCAGCTAGAAAAAAAGAGATGCTTTCGTGTGCCCTGGGTCAGGTTGGGTTGATTCGTGTTGAGTTTAATTTTGTTTGCAATAGCTTGGATGTAGGTAGGGTACAAGTATGAGTAAAGGCCAGCTTTTCCCTGTAGCTGTGCAGAGTCCCCCAAAGAGCTGTGACCATGCTGTGCCCCCAGCATAGGATGACACAAGGGTGACTGCAGGGCAGGGAGGGGATTGTCCCCCTTTGCTTTGCCTCTGTGAGACCCCAGGTTCAGGGACTCAACACAAGCAGGACATGCAGCTTTTTGAATGGGTCCGGAGGAGAGCCATGAAGATGCTCAAAAGGCTGGAGCAAATCTGCTATGAAGAAAGGGAGCTGGGAGTGTTCAGCCTGGCGAAGAGAAGGCTGCAGGGGACTTCATTGCAGCCTTCCAGTGCAGGAAGGGAGACCAGATTGCGGCCTGCCACCTCTGGCTGCCATAGGAATGCTGGGGAAGGCCAGCATTCCTATTATTATTCTGGGTACAAATGTTCTAATGTGAAAAAAGCAATAACAAGAAAAACAAAGCAAAAAAAAAACAAAACAAAACAACAAACCATGCCCAATTTCAGTAACTCATTTTTGAAAGCTGTTTTTAACTGATGGTGGAGGATGAAAGTGGGAATCCTGTGGTAGTTAAATATCAGAATCATTTTCCACTTTTTTTTTTCTTTATATGTGTAGGTCTTGGTATTACAGGGCTCAAATTATTCATTTGGTCTCTGAAATTACTTTGAAATGCACCGGAGCTCAATAGTGAGATTTTTAGGCTGTTTCCAAGACAGTAGTTTGTTGTTTTTTACTGGATCCTGACAGTTGGAAGCAGATGACTAATTTTCTTTTTGAGGTATTTGCACTGTGGGCGTATGGCATAACTCCCAAGACAGCAATTCAAGTGCTTTCACCTCGTAAATACATTTTTATATTATACTCAGGTTAGTCAGGAAGTGGAGAGCTGTTGTGTTTTTTTCTTTTTTAATGAATGTATCTTAACAAGGTTGCCTTACGATTAAAATATAAAAGAAGCCCAACACCTGAGAATGAAAAGAATTAAAGCTATTTCAAATGAAATCAGAAAATCTTGAAGGAGCCAGAAGCGTTTGAGGCCTAGCCTATCTCTTGAATATCTCTGTGCCTCTGTCATGCCATCAAAAAATGAGAGGGATAATTGAAATGTCAGCTCTGCGTTAATAACAGTTCAGGGAGTTTGTTTGCTGGGGCTGAGCTCTGCTGCCTGGGCCGAATGCTTCCCACAGGTTTCTGCCCCTCCTGCACTGCGGCCCATCATCAGCCCTTGTGCGCAGACCATCCCAGCACAGGCTTCATGTCAGTAGGCTCCACTCGGAGCAAAGGGAATCCCATAGGTAGCAGCTAATCTTATGTTTATGGGTGAAAAACGGCATTAAAACACAGCACCAAGATTTTGCTTGTCTCAGAGTTTTAAATTAGGAAGGATACTAACATGCAGTGTTTCCACGCATAGGGGAAATGAATCCCTGGTATTCTTTTATTACTGCAAAGCGGCTGAGATTTCAGTGCAAGCTCAAATACTTTGTGTGCATTACATGTATAAGCTAAAGCTGGCTTACAGTACTGCTACCAGCCATACTGGATGCAAACTGAAGGCTTGTTTAGAATTCTACATATTGCACAGCAGTATAACACAAAAAAGACAGTGTACAGTGGCTGGCCAGTGTTGCTATTACTCGTGAGAAAGAGAGGGGATCTTACAGCTTGGGAAAAACAGAAGGAAGGACCTTGGAAGCACAGAACTCCCTCTGTTTTAACTTGGTAAGTCCATGCAGGTTCGCAGTACTTTCTGTTTTTTTCATTTCCCTGAATAACAGTAGTTTCAGATTCCACTGCAGTACAGCAGAATCAATAGAGAAGCAGTTCTGCACTTGCTTGAGCTCTGTGCACAGATGCTCAGCAAGATCCCATCCCTAGAAATTTTCTCTGAGCTCATGCAGACGATGGCAAAGTAAACAAATCTCATTTACCAAAGAAATGACCGAAGTCGTGCCAGGTTGAACTATTGTGGAGTGTAAATTGCCTTGCTAATGTCAAATACCTCTGCTTATCTCTGCAGTTCGGTCTTTCTGATGAATTATTACACCACGCTCAGCTTCTATTTCATCTTCTTAGGGATAACCAAGAGGGGGGAAAAAAGTGCTGTACCCAATACAGTGCTCTGTTCTCTTCTAGCTTATTTGTGCAATGAGTAACATGGTGGGAAAATTCCATATGATATTGTTGCACCCGTTTTATGAAGAAAGAGAGTTAGGGGGGTCAGAGGGGTTTCAGTGTCCTGTAGGAGAGCAGCTTTCCTTTACTTGCCCCATGATGCGGGCAAGCCCTGTCCTACTGCTCAGTGGGAGGCAAAACCAAACCACCACAGTGAAC